ATTAATCTTAGTGAGCACAGGGGCCCTCACTTTCCTTCCACACCCCGCTAGCCCAGCCTGGGCATCATCATGACAGCCCTGCTACCTAACTCATGGCTCTATTCCAACCTGGCAACCATCTGGGTGAACTTAAGTCTATAGGACATAGAATGGCCCTTTTCTAATAAACCAGTAGGAGCAGTATTGTACGGATGCCTGTTAGATGATGTTAGAAATGTAGGTTAAGTGTCAGAAGTTTGTAACTATGTTTTAAAATAATGTTGTCATGGAGTTGTAGTGGAATCAGCCACCTGAGAGATTTCTCCTTTTCTTTTAGCACATAGGCCAGTGCCTGGCACATGGTAGATGTCTAATAAATACGTGCTGAATGATGAATTGAATCATTGGATTAGAGGAGGAAGGGACCTCACCGACCATCTACTCCAGGGCTCCTTAACCTAGTCCATGAACTTGTTTTTTAAAAGGTTGTTTGGTAATTCATTTCAATATAATTGGTTTTCTTGAAAGACCAATCTATCTTACCTTATGCATTTGAAAACATGATTCTGAGAAGGGATCTGTACTCTTCATCAGATTGCCAAAGGAGCCCAGAACACAAACAAAGTCGGAGAAGTCCTGAGGTTGTCCAACTTTGCCTTATTCCACACTGCCTGACTGAAAACTTGAGAGCATTCCTAGTCTTACTATACATTGATTTCATTTGGTTCTGAGAATGTTTCAACTTTTAATTCCCCGCAGTACAGATCTAACTATGTCTCCCATCCCCAAACTCACTCAAAAATCTTCAATCACCTCTTGATAAAATTCAGATACCTCAGTCTAGCATTTAAAATTTTCTATAAAAGAGATCTGGCTTACCTTTCTGGTCTTATTTCAAATGACTCTCCATTACATACTGGCCTCTCCAGTCTCTGGCCTGCTATTGGTTCGCAATATACAACATTCCTGTGAGCTGGGGAAAAACAGTTTGATTGGTGGGACTCCAGTTTCCACAAAGCATGTATCTGAAGGCTAAGAGGGCCCAGAGACCTGGCATTTCCTCCCTCCTCAGCCACTTGTGGTGGCCCTGGTATAAGGAGGTTTCTTGGGGTCCTTGGCCCTTATTCCTCATTCTGTATTAGATAATTGAGCAATACCCCCTTTGAAGTGGTTTAGATTAGCCCACTGCCCTGCCTCAGGGGTAATGAAGGAGTGTCCTGTGAGTGCCATGTCAGCCCTTTGCCTAGAATGCTATGGGTCAGTGTGTGTACTCATATATGTATATATGTATAGTATGTATATGTGTTTGTTTATTTGTATATGTTTGAACTCAAATGGCTTGAGGTCTTTGAATGGAGTGTGCATCTTGCTCCAATCAACCACTTAATCAATAAACATTTATTATGCACCTACTATGTGCCAGGCAGTTTGCTAAGTTCTGGAGATACAATGAGGCAGAAGACATTCCCTGCCCTTAAGGAGCTTATAGTCTAATGCGGTCCATGTCCTAGCCTCCGTGTGGAGCTGGGACAGTGGGAAGGGAGCCCACTCCCAACATTCCCCATTGTTCTGCTCCCATGGCTCCCTGCCATCAGCATGTAGCTCTGTTACTCTGTTGGAACCATTCCCTCCCCTTTGACCCAGCAATACCGTTCCCCTCCTTCATACTGTTTTACAAGTGGGCCCCTCATGCCTAGAATGCTCTCCCTCCTCACCCCTATCTCTCAGAATCCCTAGGTCCCTTCTAAGCCCAGGTGTCACCTGCTATATGAGGCCTTTTTTATCCCTCCAATTGTTAAACTTTTTCTTCTTGAAATCTCTTTGTATACACTCTGTCTTTACTTCTCTACCTAGATTTTACCTTACAGAATGTGAACTCCTTAAAGCTAGGGAGTGTTGTGCTTTTGTCTTTGTAATCCAAGTGCCTATCTCAGTGCTTGTCATGTTTAAGAAATGTTTTCTTGATTTACCTGATTTTTTTCTGGGGGACAGGGGGGTGCAGAATGGAAAATCCAAGAATATACTGATGAATTCTTGGTGATATTTGACTGTAAGCAAACAATAAAACAAAACAATATACTTCAACCATGGCCTCTCAGCACCGCCCCCCCCCCAAAAAAAAATTGGTACTATGGTGAGCTTGGCTAACTTGATCTTGCAAAACATTTTGTGATGTTAGCAGTGGCCACGGATTAAGCAGAGACCTGTGGTCTGTGAGACAGAGGAAGGGCACCTAAACCTGGACTCCTAAGGTAAGGGTGGGCAGCAGAGCATCCTGGGACTTCAGAGAGGATGTGGTGTCTCTTTGTACCGGGCAGAGCTCGACATCCTGCTGCCTCACTCTCTTACCCTAAAATCACATGTGGAACATGTGGGTGGAAATAAGCCCTGTAGGTAAAAGAAAGTGGAAATTGGCTGAAGATCAAAGGTGATCCTCATTCCATTCCGGCCTCCAATTTTTTATTATCCCATCTAAATTTAGTCTTTCATAGATTTATTTTTTTGTTCATTTCAAGGGGAAAGGGTGAACTTAAATCAGAGGTTGGGGATTTTCTTTGTTATTCAGCCCATATGTAATTTGAACCCGTTAGTAATGACTTTAGTTGATCAAAACCTCAATTGGTAGGAAGTTTCAGCACAAGGAATGGTTTGATGTATTAATATTTCTTCTTTAAATATGTCAGTAAAACCCTGGCTGGCTTAAGTCACAGGAAAAATGCCTTCCAAAACATGACCCAATTCAAGATCTAGAAATCTGGTCCTGCCCCTCACTTACTAAATGTGTCATCTTGAGCAAGTCCCTTCTCTCTGCATCAGTGTCTTCACCTGCACTTAGATAAATTGTAAAGTTTCTTCCAGTTTTAAATCCTTGGATTCTCAAGGAATCATAAATTTCAGGAATAGGAAGGTCCAGAGAGTTCACCTTATCTTATTCATCTCAAACACAGAATCTCTTCTTCAATATTTCCCGGCATCCATCATTCAGCCTTTCCCTAAAGACCTTCAGTGAAGGGCTGACCACTGCCACAAGTGTGGGGCAGGGAGTGGCTGTGGTATGGGAGAGTGATGTTTTCAGACCTCCCTTATATATGAACCTTGTTTTATTAGTACAAGAGTAGGCAAGCTACCCTGAATCAGACTCTACCTGTTTTGTGCTGCTGAACAATTAGGAATGTTTTTAAAATACAAGAAAACAATTTACAAATGTAAAAAACCATTCTTAACTTGTCCCAAAATAGGCTGAGGGCCATCCTTGGTCTGGGCACAGTAGTTTACTGACACCTCCTGGTTTAGTGATTGAGTCATCCAATCTCCAAATCAGAAGGGAATGTAGATGGGACACAATGGAGTGCAATGGTCACCGGATCTGGAGTCAGCAGACCCGACTTCAAATTTTACCCCTACTACTTACCACTCCTGCAAGATTGGGAAAGTATTTTGCTTCTCTGGGCCTCCATTTACTTCTCTGTGAAATTGGAGGGTTAGGCTTGATGACATTTGAGGTCCATTACAGGGACAACTTCCTGGGGTCTACGAATTTTTGGTGTGAACTACTACCAAGAAAACCCCAAATGGGGTCACAGACAGTCGCACGTAACTGAAATGGTTGAACAATAGCACAACGGCATTAGCTATTACTCTCCTCCTTTGGGCACAGGAAGACCCCTCAATGTCAAGGACTGTTTTATCCTGTTCTTACTGTAGCACATGCTTTAGGAGTCACTGTCTCAACCCCTGGTTAGACTAGCACGTTGAATCACCAAAGCAAGGCTGACTATCTCTCCTCTTGGGGCTCTGGAAGTATACCAGAGAGATCATGGCTTATACAGTACCATTTCTCAAAAGCCCCCAGTCTGTGTGCTCCAGAAATATTGAAGACAAATTAATATCTCTCAATATCCATTGAGAAGTTAATATATATTAGGTTTTTCAAAGTGATATTTCCTTATATCAAAGGGAAAACCCCCAAACTATATAAGGTCTTCATTGATCTATATCCAACATCAGAGACTATGTCTTATAACTTGCTGACCTTCTAAGCCACTTACAGAGTTAACAGAGTCTATTTTCCTTTTCTACCCGATATTTGTTTGATGCAATACTGATATAAAGGAAGCGGTTTCATCATATAGCACTCTCTGCTATAGTCTGCTTCTGAGGACTCATCATGGTGTGGAGGTGATTATGAGACTGAAGCTGATATTAATAGGATGCAGGGTCTGGCAAAGATCTAACAGCCCCCACCCAACTGAGAAGGCTCCAAATATGGGCCCAGTAACCAATGATGAGAGAATTACTGACTGAGAACTGGAAGGATCCTTCATGGTCATTCAGTCTAACACCATCATTGCACACGTCAGGAAGCTCATTCCCGAAGGGGGTAGTAATTATCCCAAAGTCATATAACAAGCAAGTAGCATAGACAGAATTTGAACCCATATTTTCTTTAAAAATGTGTATTTATTCTTCTCTCATCTGATGGCCAGCCAAGTTGAGTTCAGAGCAAATCATCCTCCCCATTCAGGGAGTAATAAGGTTCTGGGGGCCATAGCAAATTGTGAGGCCATCTAGCAATCAGCCATACTTATTAAGAATCCAGTGGTAGGTGCTAGAATAGATGCACAAAAGGAGGTAAGCATTGCCTTCAAACAGCTTACTTACTCTGTTTGTAGATAAGTATGAGGGGGTTATGATCTGCTCAGGGAAGAAAACTCTTCACAGACGTGAAATCATGGATGTTTATCGTACAATGGGAAGATTCCTGGATTTGGAGTCCGAGACTCTGGATTAAAAGATCAGGCCTTCCACTTATAAACTGTGTCGCCTTGCCTAAGTAGCTTAATCCTTCATGGATTGCTTGCCTATAAAAATAAGGGGCTTGGAATATATGCCTACTAAGGTTCTGAACCTAATCACTCCGTTGGCTCGAGATAATACTGAAGATGGGAAATTCTTGATTTTGATGGACGTTTGATGTTTTTTGATTTCATATTTTCAAATATTATATTTGTTCTTGATAGGTTTCGGTAATTTGACAAGGCAATTGATGCAGGTGGCTGATGGACATGTGGTGATGGCTCTGGAGGGAGGACATGATCTCACTGCCATCTGTGATGCATCAGAAGCCTGTGTGAATGCCCTGCTAGAAAATGAGGTAAAAAAAAAAATTAAGGGTCTCGGGGCAGAGGGTTGGAGGAGGGGGTGGAGAACAAAGGATTCAAAAGGAATCTACTCATCATTCCAGCAATGTATTTTCTTCTCTTGGAAAAAATGGTAACTTTGTTTGGTTCCATGTGCAATCACAGGCACAATAGATCTGTAGAAAGTAGCAAGCAAGCCTCCCATCATAGCTCAGTTTAGATCATCCAAGATTTTAAATTCTTTCTTTCATACAGCAGAAAGCTAATCCACTTACAGAACCCACACTGAGATCCTTTCCATCCAGTTATTGAGAGAGCACAGAAGATATGTCTAGAGGACCCTCAGAAAGAAGGAAGCTTTATCTAGACATCCATAGTTCTTAGAATTAAAGCCTTGATCTGGAAATCATACTTAACAGAGTTCTTCTTAATACTCCCAGCTGTTTCTGCTCTTGCCTTACACCAGGCTGTTTTAAAGGTTAGCATTATTTGTTTGGATTTTTTGTCCAAACCTAAAATTTTCATAGGTGTGGGTAGCTCAGGAGGGAGATTAAGGCTGAATAAATAGGTCTGGGAATTCTCTGCAGATAGATAGTAATTGAATACATGGGAGCTGATGAGATACCAAATGAGAAACAAAAGAAAGAAAAGAGAAGAGAGCCCAGGACAGTTCCCTGAGTGAAAAACACTGGGATAGACATGGTTGAAGATACAGCAACTGAAAGGGAGAAGGAGATTTGGGGCAGATTGAAGGAGAAGTAGGACAGAGGGCAGTCTTGAAAACCAAAAGAGGAAAGAGTAGCCAGGAGGAGGTGGACAATAGAGACAATTACTGCAGAAATGACAAAAAGGATGAGGACTGAGAAAAGGCCATTCGATTGAACTCTTCAGAGATGATTAGGACCTTTGGAAAGAACAGCTTCCATTCAGTGATGAGGTAGAAAGACTGAGCAGATACATGTCCCCTTCTGTATTTGTTTTTCTATCCTCAGCTCTTAGCCTAGTACTTAACACATAATAGATACTTAAAACATGTTGAATGAAAAGAAGGAAGGGAAGAAGGAAGGAAAGAAGGAAGGAAGGAAAAGGAAGGAAGGAAGGAAAGAAAGAAGGAATTCTCCACAGGGGGTTCATACAATGTACCTGCCAGGGACTTTCTCTAGATCTTTTGTCACTCTTGTGGATGTCACTAAACCATTTGGACTGTCCATCAATCACCCCTTGCCTTTGTCAGGTCACCATGCTATTTCCTTTTCCGGTCATACATCTCTATGAGAAAGTCTTTTATACCATCTAACTTCATCTATATCTCAAGTAAAGTCATCAAGCATTTATTAAACACTTACTTTGTACCAATCGTTGGCTAAGCACTGGGTATATGAAGAAAGAAAGAAAAAAAACAAAGCCAGTCCCTGCTCTCAAAGAATTCATAGTGTAATGAGGGAGACACCATGCAAACAACTATCTCCAAACAAGATAAATAAACCAGATATTTAATATATCATATTATATTTACATGCATTTGTAGTTTCACTGATTATAGAGAGTCAGAATAAAGCATTAATCAAGAGTAGGGCATTTTTAACATGGGCCCCACCAATAGAAGTCAGGAGATCTAAGAACTTGGATGGGAAAACAATCACATCCTTATTTTTATTGACTTCTAAGTGAAATTTAGCATTTCCTTCAATTTTCTAAAATCCTTGTTCTGAGATGGGATCCACAGAAACCATCCACTGATGCCAGCGGTCCATGAGACCCTGAGAAGAGGGATTACAATTTTGAATCTATAGTTTATAGGTCTATGGCTAGAAGGGACCTCATAGAAGTCCAACCCCTTCATTTTACAGTTGAGGAAAGGTTTTGGTTTTGTTTTTCTCTCCCCCCCCCTCCCTGGAAAGTTTCAATGACTTGCTATGTGGGTAGCAAGTGACGAGAGTTAGGATTTGAATCCATGTCCTCTGACCTGAGAGCTAATGGTCCTCTTTCCTCTATTCCATGCTATGTCTGCTTTATATTAATTATATAATTGACATATGTTAGCAGATGTAGTAGATGAAAATAAATGTTGCAATGAGTGTGGTTTATTTACAGGTTTGAAAGTGTGCTAACCGAAAAACATATCGTGCATCTTTGCAGTGGCTTCCCTATTTGTCTGCTTGTGGTGTCCAAACTCCCCTAATTCTTAAATTGGACTCTCAGTTTCAAATATTGAATCATCACAGAGAAGCTAGACCAGCTTTGATATTTGCATTGTAAGGACATATGCCAGATGTGCAGAAAATCCCAGAAGGTTGGGGATTCTGGCTCTCTGGCTGACTGACCTGCCCAGAAGAAACGTTAACCGGCTGCAAAAGCCAACAGCTTCTCCAGCTCTGTGGTAGGAAATTATGGCTTTCTTTGGCTCAGTGTGTGCTCATTCAGAGGAGATTCTATCTTTTGTGCTCATTGGGTCCTATCATACTCTTCCAAGTGGGGCTTTGTAGCCAATGGGAATGGAGGTTCTGCTCTGTGTGGTCTGTCTACTGAAGGGAGGACTGAAATTCCAAATCACCTTTCAGGGTGATGGTTCAAAATAATTATCAATTGTCTTAAAAACCTTGTTCTGGGATGGGTCCATAGATATCATCAACCAAGTGGTCCATGACCCCCCCCACCCACTCCCCCACAATGTGCACACACACACGTACACACACACACAGAGACACACACACACACATGTACACACACACACTTTTTCTTAATTAAACCAAGTTGACTAAGAAATCCATGTTTCTTCTACCTCCTGCCATATTCATTTTCCTTAAAGGTCAGGAAATTCCCATTCTACTTGCCATCATGAATGTCTAGGTGGAGTAGGAAATTGGGATTCAGAAATCAGCTGAGGATAACAAAGGAGTAACGCATGACATTATATTTGGCCACTTGACCTTTCTTTTATCTTTAAGCAAAAAAAATTCTGAAATGTAGAGATATGAAGTAACATTTGGGAGTATATACATATGTATATGGACAGCTCTGGGGCACAGCGGATAGCTCTCAGTGGATAGTTCCCAGAAGACAATGGCTATTTCTCCCCTCAGGGTTCTATGGGTAACCCCAAGCGGTTGGGTTTTCTAACACTGTTAATCTTGAGTGCCCGTCTGGTGTGTTCCCCAATATTTACCAACCATTTCATATTGATTACCTTTTACAAAGGGGATATTTGCTGAGATGGTATAGCATGGATATAAGCTTAAAAAATGAAATGGAGGTGTATTCTTCATTCTGGATGCACACAATCTTTGGAGATGTAGGGTTCAACATTTAAGTAGAAAAGTAGTGTGGCACACATGTAGGAAACATGTGGAGCAAAGCTGTGCCTTGTGAATCCTGGCCTTAGGGGTCTTTCTCTTCCTTCCTTCCTTTCTTCCTTCCCCACCAAGTTTTTTCAAGGTCACATTGGTAATGGATGAGTTATTCCCTTGCTCAGCTGAGCTGATTCCTTGCAGGGCTGTATCTCAGCTGATGGGTCAACTCCCTCCCAGTCTGGGTCAAGCAGGTTGCTTGACTTCCGTGATGACTTCTCACCAGACTTGGCTGCTGCTATTGCCAGTTCCAGGTTTCAATGGGATGACTATTGGCTTTAATCAGTTTCTTAGCTCTCTGGTCCCCTGAGCACTCCCTTCTTAGAATGCTTGTTCACCTATTACCAGAGGAGAGTGAGTGCAAAAGAAACAGAGATGCCATTAGCTCCCAGACATATGGCAGCCAGGTGGAAGACAGGTTAGCTACTGTCTCTATCCCCACCCACAGCAGATCACAATAGTTTTTACCTCAGTCATCATCTGGATCAGAAAGGAAAAGTGAAAAAGGTTTAGGGATAGACCTATTGATCCTTTTTTTTTTTAGATGTGATCTCAGTTCCTGCTCAGTGTCTTCTGAGACTTTGAGCCCTCTGTCTCTATCTAGGCAGAAAACTCTTCTTTACCCCACAGGACCAAACACTGTTACTTATTGACAAAAGTAGGCCCTCCAAGTCTATTTTCTTGTTGGAGTAGAAGAAACCAGAAACTATCTTCACATATAACCCATTGGGAAAGGCAAATATGATCATCCTCTCTGGAATGGTCCTTCATTGGCCATTCCCCATGATGGATAGGTAGGTGTATATATGCACACACACAAATGGAGATTAATCCACAGATCTATGTATTCTGTAGAGAGGTGTTGTGGCACAATAGGTAGAGTGTTTGACCTGGAGTTAGGAAGACTTGGGTTCAAATACCACTTCTTATAATTGCAGGCTTTGTTACCAGAAGAAAGTCATTTAACTTTTCAAAGCCTCAGACAGCCCTCTAGGACTCTTCATTACAAGCGAGTTGCTATCTACAACAGTGGGAAAAAAATCACAGAATCATAGAATTTGAGAATTATAAGAGACCTCAATGCCTATCTAGTCCACCATACATGTAAAGGGAATCCCCAGTCTAACATAATGGACAGGCTGCTGTCTAGCTTCCCCTTGAACGCTTCCCAGGAGGGGAAACCTATGCTGACAAAATGACAACTCCATGATGTATGTATTTATGCATTCAATTTCACATGGCAGTGGAATTGCCTATTTTAAGTCTCTCTCTCTCCCTCTCCCTCTCTCCCTCTCTCTCTCTCTCTCTCTCTCTCTCCCTCTCTCTCTCTCACACACACAGAGAACATTAAATAATGACATTAACCATAAATTTGATCTGATCCAATGCCCAAAATGCCATCTTCGTTGTTTTTCACTGAGTTTCCTTTCACTATGTAGACATATCCCAAAATTTGTTCAGTTATGGCCTAGAGAGGGAAGAAATTTAGAAATACTCTTTGTGTTTTTGTACTTTATTTCCCTAGAGTGTTCTTAAGGGCATGGCCCTAGAATATTGAGTTCCCACTAGGACTTTTTGGATAAAAGATGGATTAGGTAATTTCAAATTGGAAAGTCTGTTTGCTCTGTCAAGTCTATCTCCTTCCAAGCAGCAGGGCTGGCTAATCG